ATCAAAGTCACTGAGTACTCTAAACTTTCAACATTGCAAGAAAAAACTATGACATTTTGGCACTGAGCAGAATTTCAAACAAAGCCACTACTGGACCTCTCTCACAAATGTTACAAACAAAAAGTCTTTAGACAATGGTTCAAACAAGCATAAATGTAAATGACAAACCTTTAAGTAGTTATCCAGGAGACTACTTTGAAGTCCAAAATACTTCTATCAAATACATGAAAGCAGCCATTTCAATATTGGAAAATCAATGTTGTTGGGTAGCAAACTGGCCTTATGAGGATACAAGTATGAAGCATTTTCAGGAGCAGAATTATAAAAGCAGTGAGATAAGTCATATTGATTTTTTGTTACCATGATCATAAGAAGTGTTGTAGTAGAAGATTAAAGATATACTGATTTTAGCTTTGGAAATTGTCTCATGATATTGATTAAAGGTCCATTATACTAATGTATGATAACAGGTCCACTAAACACAAACGCATATGGATATATGTAAGGTAAGATACTTGAGCTTAAATCCTACCAGGATGACTGATTCATTTGAGTTGACAAGGTTAAGGCCTCAATCCATCTGATAGGTTTCTAGCTCAAACACATACACATACATGTAGTACAAAACACATAAACACACATACATGTAGTACATGTATATGTATATCTGTATGTATAGATATATGTAAACAGAAAATGAGATGACAAACAAGTCCATCAATGAATATTTATGTATAACTTTAATCATGATAACACATTATGATAGATAGACTTCCAAGAAAGCCACCTAAATGCACACAGTTACTGATAATCAAGTTAAAAATAAGAACATACTTACCCAATCACCCACCACGAACAAACTTACTAGCAAAGGGTTGTGCAAATCTCTTTTCACCTTTAGAGCATAGATATCTAGGCATGCAAGACCCAAACTCCATAGAGCTTGTAGTCCCATAGAAGCAATCAAGTAGCTGAATGAAAAATAGCATCGTCAAGATGTATATATATGAAGAAAACAACTTCGGCAGTATCTGATGTTTCAAACAAGAGTTCAAAAGAATATTCTCAAAATATTATATTTGAAATGCATTTGTCACATCTTAAAATATCGTTCAACATAGTGACATAGAGCTATTGAACTTTATTACTTTTAATCCCATGCTGATAAATTTAGCTATGTTAATAAAACAGAAATAAAGAAAATGCTTATCATAGTGTGAAATGTCAGTACCATTTACTCTTGAATCCACATAGTGTCAATTCAAGAGTTTGAGGTTCTGAATAATCTCATCAACCAAAGAAAATGTCAACTAGTAAGAAGATCTGGATGTAAAAGACGGCCCTCTATTTTATGCTCTAAAATGTTCTTTTACTCGTACTATCAATGATGATGTATCTATAAACGGCTTAGGCATGATTTGACAATAGTGTAGTGATTCGTATTATATCAACAGGTTCTGGAATCAAAGTAGAATATATAAATTGGAAAAAATAGGGAACCACCAACAAAGGTTCATTGGTGAATGACAAATCCTTCAACAAAACACGTGATAAAACCTAAAGACCGACATCAAGAATAAATAACTACAAGTTACGCAATAGACCAATAAACAGGAATGAGGACTTCCACATTATGTGGTTCAAATAGTCCAAGAAATTGAAAACAGAGAATGACAAGCAGGTGTCTTTAAATGATTTCTAATCTGAATATCTATGTATACTGCATATCATTTCATGGTGTTCAAGCAGCTACATTGATTGATGGTCGTTAACATGCCTGTGGAACTCAAGATGTCTGAGAAAAGAAAATGCTGATTATGTTACCATCTTGGGCATCAAATTATTGAATGTTACAACCAAGTATACCAATAAAAGAGATGGAGCATCAACTAATTAACTACCACAGAATCATCAAATTAGACAATTTGATAGTAGGTTTCACATGAACCTTGCAGACTTCGATTTATGTGCTTGAACATGGATATCCACTTACCTCTTTGAAGTGCTCTGCTCTTGTTAGTCCAACCATGACGAATCAGAACGATAATGTTGAAGTACCAGCAATGATAAGGGTCAATGCTAATTACCAAGCAATAAATGAGAACAACATTCTCATAAATACTCTTGAGATGACTGATGGGAAGTACCAGAAATGAAAAGAGTCGATGATAACTACCAAGCGATAAATGAGAAGCAACACTTCCATAAATTCTGTAATTATTTTGCTTGTAATAATCTCCCAAGACTCACTCCCATGATCTCTGTTGTGGACCTTCCGTTGGAAAGTAGCACCCAATGAAAATAATCACATTAGCAATCAAGGGTTTTCATAGAAGTGTCATATAAATATAAATCAAAGTCATCTGAGTTGCTCCCAGTTATCTATTTCAATTTTTGAGTAACAACTTCCAAACATCGATCAATGTACCTAGATACAGTAAAAGCCAATCATCATCTCCTAGAATATCAACAGGCAGCACATCCCAACTAATTCAGAGACCTTAGTGATAAAGATTCAAATTGGAATCAAACAAATTCTACCACACAGATGAGGAACACCATCTTTCTGAAAACATCAAATGTTCTGTTTTCTTTCAGAACAATTCTTACAGGCCAATCATATCTAAAATTTCCAGCCATCACCTCTCAGAATTTATCTCAATATCTGCGCTGCGCATGTGTGCTAAGAACTTAATAAAACAGTAGTGCCAACATAAGATCATAAACACAAAATGTTATCTAAAGCAGTTAGGCATATACCAAATCAAAGAGCCCGACAACGACAGAATTAAGGAAAACCGACTCAGATCACTCAAATTGAGAACAAAGGGAACAACAAATGACACTTCCTTAGCTCAAAATAAGAAAGAGCTCAGCAATCAGTACCAGAAAGCGGTGTAATTGGAGAAGCCGAAGGCGGAGAGCATCACCCCGATGGAAGCCCCGGCGAAAACCCACTGCCCAGTCCTCAGCAGCAGCCCGCTCCACGTCCCCGGGCTCCCAAAGACCACCTTCATCTCCGCCTCACAGAACCCTAGCCAGTCCGATCCAGAATGGCTTCCTGGTGCTGGATCTCCCAACAGAATTCCCGCCTTTCTCGGCCAATAGCAGCGAATTCAAGACCCGAACTGGCAATTTCTAGATCGAAGGGGTGAAATTATTGGATAAGGATCTCCCAAAACGAGGAGCGATGGAGGAGAGGGAGAATTCAATTCCCACGCCGAAAGGAGGAGGGGCATTTGGTTGAGAGGCCTCTTTCTATTATTCTACGCTTGATTGGTTTACCGGACAACCATTAAGCAACAGAAGTGTTTTTTTGGTGTGTGCGTGCGCGTCACGGCTCCCACGTCCAGCCTTTGCTTGGATAATGACGTGTGTTTGGCGAGGTTTCCTTTTTAATGTGGTGGAAAATGTACATTATCTTTATTTAAACCAAATTATATATGATCTAATATATTTTTAATTTAAAATTATATATATAAGATAAGTGATAAAAGTTAAATTTAAGCTCAGGACCTTATAATAAATTGTCAATATTTTATAAATTAAACTAACTGATATCTTCAAAAACAATTGGTATATTTAATTTGGATCTTTAATTCGATATCAATTATTCAAAAAAAATTATATTACCTAATGAAATCAATGATTTTATATTTATTTTGATATGTTCAATTTTGATCCTGAATTTGATATGGCGAAAAGTATCTGATCAAAACGTAACAAAGTCGCTGTGAATTAAGTTTAGCATATACATTCATGTAAATTCCAATCTCTCTTTGAACTCCAATTTTATATATATATATAATAACTAAAATATTATTTGCAAATAGATTAGTTTTAGACTTTGAAATAATAAACATAACATAAACTCCTTTTCCTTGGAACGGACAACGAGAGATCAAATGGCCAATAAATTCGACGGGAAGAACAAGAGTTTGAAGAATCGCAGCATTGGAATATTCCAACGATTCTTTCCATTTTAATGGATTTTTCTTTACTTGCCGCCTTGTTCGACGGAGCCGAGGTGCACCAAGTAGATTTGTAGGCTGGCACTGGGCCAATCAAATGTTTATATATATACACATACACACATTCTTCTAAAGTTTGCACACAGAGAGTGTGTTGTAGGATAATTAAAAAGGATTTTTTTTTACATATCTATTCTTCTAAAGTATACAAATCGTGTGTTAAACCCTATAAATATTAGTAGAAAATATATATTCCTTCAAATATTTAAATCTTCTAGATGTAATTATCAGCGGCTAACTTCCACTGCATGATTAAATCTTGGAAGAGAATCATTTTTTTTAAGAGACATTAAATATTAGAAACCATTGAAGAGTTACAGTGACATAATTACATCATATAGAAGGGTTGGAGCAGAGCAATTGGACAGTCTGCTGGATGTTAACAAGTACCCAGCTAAGAAAGACCTACAAATCTAATAAGCTACTCATTGACTGAATCCAAGACCTGAAATCAAGATCGAAATTATTATAGCTCAATACTATTGATTTCAGAAAGCCAGAGATAAAATCCTGCTTGATATTCATGCAAGACATGTTCTTCCCAGGTAAAGCAGCAATTAGTGACAGCCGATGCATTCGTCGAGAATGCTACAACTAAATGAATGACAAGGAAGGATCAACTGATGGCTTGATATCATCTCAGCGTTTGAAAGAGACTTCATTTAAATAATACAAATTCAAACAATGAGGTACATTATAATGAAGATAGATTACTGTTTACATATCTAGAATTCTTTCATTAGTGGGATCTGAAAAGATTCGAGAGAAACGAAGGCATTAAAATCTTACAAGTTTCAGCATACTATCATCCATCAAAGAAAGATGACTTCCACTACTTTGATTGCCAAACCCTGCAACAATTAAAATAATATTCATCTTGATATACACAAGAAAATAGCTTAAAAATCATCATCAGTGCAAAACTAGCTCAGAAATAGCTGCAGCCACATGGCCACCATTATATTAACTCTGTGTTCTTTCTCATTCCAGGTAAAATTATACATAATGAAAGAAGCATGAAGCATATCAGAAGGATACGAGTAGATAAAAAGGGATACAAGGCCTCAAAAATTGTGTTATAATGTTAATTTACCAAACATATGCCTGGGATGAATTAAAATTATGACTTAATCTCTAAATTATGGTCTTCTCACTTCATAACCAATACAAGGCAAACTCAATTCAGATATGGTATGGTTGATCTTCATGTAGATCCAGCATGAACAGACATCAATCCCATCCCAAATCCAAAATGCAATTTTCCTGTCGTGTGTATTTTGTTAAGATCATTTTGGAAAGAAAATACACCAATCATGGTACTGTTTCTTACCAAAAATTTCAGATTTTTCTGTTTTTCTCTGACCAAATCAAAGCTTTATACCAACCAAATTTCTTTATTCTCCTAGTTGGCTTTCTAGAGAAAAAGTATTTCCAAAATAATTAATAGAATACCAGCTTTAAAAAAGCTTCAAAGAGATTGCAATGGACATTGACAAATGATTCAGTTCTGATTACCAAATTGCAAAGTGCAAAGAAAATCTTCATGAACTTTTGAATTTTTATAATCAATGAACTTGGCTTTCCTGAGAAAAAGTATTTCCAAATTAATTATAGAATACCAGCTTAAAAAAAGCTTCAAAGAGATTGCGATGGACAATGACAAATGATTCAGTCCTGATTACCAAATTGTAAATTGCAAAAAAAATCTTCATGACTTTTGAATTTTTGTAATCAACAACTTTAGATTCATATTTAACTAAATACATGAAGTCCTATTACACATTTTCTAAGATATGAAGATAGAGTACTTAGCATCATCGTTGGATGTCCCATTGTAGATCCATATTTAAGACACGAAGCCCTTTTACACATTTCCTAAGCATATCAGTAGAAGATCCAGCATCATTGTGTGTGTGTATACACACACACACACACACACTTGTGCCAGCCAGAACTTTCTTATAGTATTACGCAGAAATGTTAGCAAATTGGAATTCAGCATGGCTAGCAACCAGTTCTAAAATATTTCATGAAATGTAAATTCCAATATGAAAAAATGCATTGACTTGGAAATTAACTTCAATTGATATTGCATATGTAAAATTTTCATTCCATTTTGAAAAAAACATTAACTGTTGACAGAATACAAGACACTAAACTTGTAAACCACTCACATGAACTAATCTCCACAAGACTGGTTACAGCTCACTATAATTGCGCCATACTGCACGGAACTCCTCGCGGAATGTGTTAAGACGTGCTTTTAAATTAGGTGTTCGGAAGCTTGCATGAAGCAGTATTGCTGAAGGTACAACACCATAAGATTTTATCAAAATTCAGAACATTCAAGATTACAACAGAAGCAAAACTGAAATTGATTTGTTTTTTCTTATACCAAGTAGTCCAATGACAAGTGCCCAAAGAATTGTGAGGAGGTTGCAGGAGGTCAACCAGAGGATGCAACTAGCTGTAACAAGAGCTTGTTTCATTAGTTGACAATGAAACAAGCAACAGTATTCAAAGAATGTATGAAATCAATGAAAAAAGATCTAGGATAACACCTGCTGAGAATATTAAGACAAACACCCAGCGACGACATCCACATATATGAATTGCCCTTTTTGCAGATGACCGTGCACGAAGAACAGGCCTAGATGTACAGATTCAAATGCCATACATATACTTGGTTAATTGATAAACAGAAAGTAAGAATCACTCCGAAACTTAAGAAAAGACTCACGTCATAGGTGGCCTCAACTTTGCAGCCAGATGTGGAGAGAACTGCCTAACAGTCCTTGTCACTTTCTCATTGAAACAAACTGCAAAGCTGTAAATTCAGATCATAAGCAGATATTTAGTATCACAAAGGTCAGTCAGCTTCATCCTGAATGTAGCTAACAGAGAAAGGGCATTGCAATTACTGTGAAATCAATTGGTGCAGCTCATATTAAATATATCAAGTAATAACATAAGCTCAACAAAATTGTGATTGATGGATTACTCTTAACAAATGAATGAAGGAATAACCCATTGGATACAATTAAGTTAGCTATACAAATATAGTAGTGCCACATGCACTATACACAGAAGACCATTCCTCACCTAAATTAGTTCACAAAATTGTAAGACTAGGTTAAATTCAGAGTTCTTACCCTGGAATTAAATTGCACCAATTCCAGTTTAAAACCCTCTTGGTAGGACAGTTTTAGCAAAATGTGGAAGAATTACTTCAACTAAAAAAAAGTGACTTGAACAACGATAACTCACATGTAGTGTCAATTGGATTATAATAATTGATCTCAGGTCAAATCCAATAATAGATTCGGAAAAAAAGTAACATATGTGAAAAAATTGTGTGACCTTGGTTCTTTGTCTGGATTTGGAAAATGTACAAGTTCAAGGGTTATTTTATAAATCCAATATGTTTTAAAATAAAAAAAAAGGATTATCTGATGTAATGTCTTCTTGGGGTTAAGGTTACGGTCTTGCCCTGCCAACGGGATTAAACATTAGCCATGTTGACATGCTAGCTACAACCCTAAGGTACTAGTTCCAACATAATGCAGATTGCAGAGGTGAGCAAGTGGCCTATCTGTTATCTGAGCCAGATCACCGGAGTGAAGTGTAACGTTATCTATGAGTTGGTCTAACCTATACCACTGTGTTTAATTTTTATCATAGTCAATACCTAAGACCTATTTTTAATAATTTGTATCTATGAGTAGTATACTTTTGGTACTATGCTCTCTGATATCTTTTGATATTTGTAATCCTAAAAGAAACAGTATGTGATATTTTGATGATCATGTATGTTCAATGTTACATAGAGTAATATAAGGTTTTGTTCATCAGTTAGATCACTTTATTCTGAAAAATCTATTATTGCGATATATAAAAATATTTTAAATTAATTTTTTTCGGTCCACTTTCTTCGATACAAATAACATTTTGCAGTATGTGTTAAACTGTAACCTGAATATTCTAGTATTATGTAGTCAATAAGATTCATGCCTAACCCATGCTAATGACTAGTTTAATTAGTGGGTATATACTCATTCTGTCATCTTTCAAAATTTCCAGATCCAGAGCTTGGTGTGACTTGCAAGATTCAAGGGTGGTATTGTTCTTGATACTTGATTTAGTCAAATAGTTTAGTTTACCTTATTAGTATGCTCGGTGTACTAGGCTGCTTTCCATGCCCTGCATATCTATAGGATGTGTTCTTGATGCCATACAACATTTCTTCATGCACTTGATTTCAAGAGGGACATTAAAAATTAAATTCTTATTAAGATCTTAATAAGAGAAATAGATAGGGAATGCCTTGGTAATTTGACTCTAATCCCAAAAGATTCGACATGACATATCTTGATTACTCAAATTTTCTATTTATTTTGCATAAAAGACAATAAGAAAACACATGATACTTCAACACTCAATTCATTCAATGTCATTCCCCAGAAATAAATAAGAAATTCATCAATAATTTGTCGCTAACCCCTTTGTGCACTTTATTTCCTACCTACTTGTGCATGAACATGGAAAAGAACATCTAACGTGTTCCGCAAATTCATTAAATTTTCTTTTTTTATTTGAGTGTTGTCAATCGAATCAGGAAATTCAAGTGATATACCATTGACACTGTAAACCTGTCCCATGAACCAACAATGATAACATAAAAATGGTTAATTAGTTACTCTTCAGTAGGCCATATTATAAACAGTCAAACTGTTCCCTAACTCTCTTGTTTCTGCAGCAATCAACCAAAAACAAAAATAATTCAAACACTAGGAAGGAATACAAGTTTTCTAATATTCATAGCATCAACAGCATCAGATACATGAATCAGAAATAACAAATTTTCACTCGGCAAATAGCACCTTAATGATATTTACTGATCAGGATTTTTTTTAGAAACAGGAATCTGCTTACCTATCATTTAGGAAAGCAATGCTTAGGCCTGTCAGAAAAGCAGCAATAATTGCAAGAGGTTTCCTAAGAAATCCCAACCCTGCGGTCAAGCCAAAAAAATGAGAACAATATAATTATTAGAAAAACAAAGTATAAAAAAGACTTTAAAGCAAATATAATACATCAATATATCACAATTGACTGCATCAGAAGCTTTCTTACCTAGGACGAAGATGATCAAAAGGAAGTAATTTGTGCGGTAGCTGCAAAAGAACAAATTAAACAGAAACAAGTACCATCATCCTCTATAATAACACGAAAATTCATATTCAAAAGATGAGACGATTTGTTACATAATGCAAGGGCCTCCAGAAGGACAGAATGAAGGATGGAGAAGAAAGCACATACTATATCTTTTCTAATTCAAGTATATCCAAATTGCAATCGGGTACAAGACATAAGCATCTATGGAAACTAAAGAAACTCTATCACAAGGGATCCAATTCATCGTATGAACTCAACAAGAAAGGGGAGATCGACCGTGAAACGGCTGAGATCTTACTAGTACAGGTTGCACTTGAGGCGGCTGTTCCATTTCGAGTAGGATCGGGGGAGGGTGAAGCGGGAGAAGAACTCGGAGACAGGGCGGGGCGGCGAGGACCAGTCCACCTCTCGGAGGGCGTCGATCAGATCCTCCGTCGTGACGTTGCCCCAATCCATCGTTCGACGACTTACAGGACGACGCCTGTGGTTCGATCGGAACCCTAGAAAACCGACCCAGGGAAGGCAAAAAGCAGAAGGAGAAGGATCGATCTCGGGGACGACGAGGTTTTGGGTAACGATTTTTCCTCCCCGAGAGAGAGAGAGAGAGAGAGAGAGAGAGAAAGAGGAGAGGAGAGGAGAGGAAATTGATTGTTCGGGGAATTTGGTTTATGGAAAGGAGTCGGCTCGGCGTGTCGGCTTTTGCGTTTGCGGTAGTCAGGTGGCTTTGGGCCTTCGTCCACCGGTCACATTATTTATGACAATTTACGAAGATTACCCTCGTTATATAATATATATATATATATATGTATATATATATATATATACATGTATATATATACATACATGTATATATATATATATATATATACTAACTAATAATATAGTGGTATT